TTACAAATTTCGTTGAATTAAAAATTGTGTTTTTTCTTGAACTACTTTCATTTGCATTTTACCATTTAAATTAAGCATACCTGGTTTAATTTAAATGGTAAGATGCAAATTTTAGAGGGTATTAGGAGAATCTTTGATGCAATCATTGATGAAATATTGCTGTTGGTTAAGAAAAAAGCTTTTAAAATAAAAGTTTTAAAAAAATATAGATATTTTAAGCCATTTTTTCAATATTAATTTTTTTTTGTTGATAAAAATAAAATATGTTATGAAGTAACCTAAACAGTAGATTTACTTCTGTATGATTTAATGCAGAAACTTCAAACCTTATAATTATAAATTTACTCCAAACTTTTTTACAATGAATTAAATATAAACTTAATTGTTATCAGAAGTTAAGATAAATTATTGCAAAAGTTTGTTATAAATATCTTAAGAAAGTATTTTTTTCTCAACCAAACAGGCCAATTTCGAACATTTATGATTTTTTTAAAATCTATGTAACAACAACAGCAAAAAAAATTTCTGAATAGTGTTTACAAATAAAAATAAGAGTTAAATTTTAAAAGAACGGTTACTTGATATTATCCTCAAAAACGAAATACAACAGATAAGTTATATTACGTATTGTGTGAAAGAGTTTTGGAAAAAACAATTAAGTACTTTGATGCATCTTTAAGAAACCACATTATTAACCGAAAATAGATTGAAATAAGTAATTTACACTTTTTTTCAATCTTTAAAATAATTTTAAAAGCATTTTCATATGTTTTTATAATATATTTCTACACCAAAGTATCCTTTCTTACACTTAAAATGTAGGATTATTTAAATCGTGTGACCTATAGAATGCCAATAGTTTTACCCATAAATTTATAGTTTTAGATTATCAGATGTCTCAAAATTCAATAAGTAGTAAATTGCTTTTGTAGTGAATATTTAATGATATAATATAAATATTAATACATGGCGAAAAAATTCTTGCAAAATTACCGTACTCTATGGTATGGCATTTCTGGTTTAAAAAAAACGTAATTCTGGTAATAAAAGCAAAAATATAGTGTATTTAAACTATTTATTTCCTAATTTTTCTGTCTATATGGTAACGGTTTACCTGAAAGTTCTGATTTTCGAAATTATAGATCTTATTACCATATATTTAGTAAAGAAATACAAAACTGAAAAATAAATGTAACCGAATAAATGTATTTTATGCCATGTTCTAAGGTACCAAGTTTTATCACAATTACCAAATTTTATCAGACATTCAGAAACGGTATTCTATTATTAATTTAGTAAAATTATTACAAGACCTCTTCAGTAAAAATTATTCAGCTTTTTGGTATTCTCATTGCGACAGAAATACTGTAAATATTATATTCCAATAGTTTTGACCACACTTTTTTATTTCAGTGTAAAGTTCAGAATTAGCTGATGCTGACGTTATTTTTCCCACTTTTTGAGAAGCGCCTAATAATATAAAAATTACAAAGAAAGCAAAATAATAGTTCCTTTTTCTTAAAGTAAGACACTTTGAACAAAAAAGAAACAAGCAGTTATTCATTATTTCTTTTTTTCTGAAGTCTGTCTTAATTTTACCGGACTTAATAATGAAAATAAAACTTTTTAAAAATATGAAACCTATTATAAGCCTATAATTATTTGTTAACATCAAATTTGTATTTAAAAATACGTAAACAATATGAATTTTAGAACACTGTAAGTCTATTATTTTATTTTGTGTATAAAAGTACTTTGAAACACTGTGAAATGTTAAATAGTTTATATTACAATATTAATAGTTAATAATGTTAAATAGTTTATTTATGATAACTGTTAAATAAAGTTAGGTAGTATATAAAGTTATGGCTTAGTTGAAATATGATTCCGTGTAAGGGAAAAAGTAGTGTAAATAAGATAATTTAAATTTTTTAGGTCAAGTCTAACTAATTAAAAAGTTTATAAAAAACTAATTTATTTATTTGATACTTTAAATTTTTAATTCTGTGAATTCGTACTTGAAATTTTAGACTAGAAACACTTTTAGTTCTATTGAGCTATGTAAAAGTCATATATATATTTGCCAACAAGTATCTTATAATTTTTCGGTTAAGGAACCAAATGTAAAAAAGGAAAAGAACGTATTTTAAACAATTAGAATATTTTTGAGTTCTTTTAATTAAATCTAATAACATTTTACATTGAAAATCACAACAATAGCTCTTTTGCAGCATAATCTTTTACTAGTATTTTACATAAATATATGTGCTTTTAGAAAAATGAAACGGTTTGATAATTTAGTTATACCTTGATTCTCTAGATATCTTTATAATTTTATCTTTCCTTTTTTACTTTATATTTTGTCAAAAGTCTTATGTTAAATAAATTTGATTTAATCTTAAATTTATTTATTCAATATAAATTCCACAAATGCAGGTTCTCTTTTAAAAAAATGTCAATAAAATTAATTTTTTGTTCTGATTTATTTTCATAAGCAATACCAAAAATTTCCTTATTGTAAATACTTAATAAATTTGTCGCCATTTTAATGAAACTATTTAGTTAACTTTATTCTTAAAATTAAGCGTAAATAGCTTAAAGAGATTAACTATCATCACTTCTAGTACTTGAGAAGGATAAAAGAAAACAAAGGATTTCGATCTCAAATGTTCTCTCAAGCATTAATAATCTCTTCACCGTTAATCGGCTTTACAATTAAGGATTAACTAAGGCGCTCATTTGTGACTGGATTACAACACTTTGTGGGCCGCGATTTCTAGTATAACAAATTGATCATTTCATTTATTTATTTAGAATTTTTTTTATTATGTAGTTAATTGATATTGGATTTGTATTAGAAAAAATTTCACTATATTAAATGGTATTACTTTTTAATGTCTTTCAATAATTAATAAAGAATATTTTTTCGAAATATTCATATTCATATTTGCTATATTTAAATGTTTTTCAATATTACCACAAGAAAATGTTTTCAATATTACCACAGTAGAAAAATACAAATTAATTTATTAATTGATTAGATTAGTTAGAAACTAGAACATTTTTAAACAGTATAATGATAAATTTGTATTAAAAATTGAAATGCAAGCTCTTATGTAATCTTATGTACTCTTTGTAATCTATGTTATGTACTCTATGCAATCTTATGTAATTTTATGTAGCTCTTATGTACTTTTTGTGATCTGTTTTTACAAAAGAGCTTTTTTTTTAATCTTTAATTTTTTTATTTAAACAGTTTTTAATTGTTTAAATAAAAAAAAGAAGAAAAGCTCTTATGTAAAAACAGATCTCAAAAAGTTTCGCTGTGCAACTCTTTTTCGTAAGTAAAGTAAAAATTTTTTTTTTCTTGTAATAGCATTAATCGACTGCCTTTTTCTTTTTCAAAATATCTAAAAAAATTGAATAATATTTCGAAATATTTAAAAGAACTAAATATTACTTTATTATATTTATAATAGGAGAATTTATCATACAGAGAACATATTTTAAGAACAAGGTAATTATTCATTAATTTTGATAACAATTTTTTCAATTGTATGATATTAATATCTTATTTAAATCTTTTATTTACAAAGAGAAATAAAAACGAGAACAAGTTCTTTAACTTGAATAAAACAAAAAAACTTCATTTGTTATACAACAGTTTTAGATAATTCATTATGTTAGAAAATGTTTTTAATTAGAAATTTCAATATGAAATTATTTTTAAAAGTTTCAAATGCAATTACACGTAAATTTAATTTGTTCAGAAATCAGTGATTTTTCAAACATCTATCAAATTATTGCGAATTATTTCTATCTATTATATTATAAGTACCTTTTTTCCCATTGTTATTTTTTAAAAGTATCTTTTTGTTTTTATTTAGGTGTGTGTACATTAGTGCTTAATTTTTTTTGCTATTTTTATTTGAAAATGATTGTTCAATCATTTCAAAAAAGTAAGAAAAATATAAAAAGTTTTTATCATCAGTTCAATTCAATCAAATGAAACAATAAGTTCACTCTCGGAAACTGAACTAAACTCTCGGTACCGTTACCACCCATTTGAAGGTTATTTGAAGGACATCCTTCCTGGAAACCGATAAAATTGGAAAATTTTTTAACTTTTAAACTTTTAAAACCAATGGATACTGTATGTTACAAAAATAAATTATTTCCAAGTAAATAAAAGTACAGAAATCCTGTATTAAGGTATGTTAAGAACAAAATTATAGGATCACGTGACTACGAAGTTTCAAAAAATAAAAATGTCAGTATTTTCAAGAGAGTGCTGAAAGTAAAATTATAGTTTCTTAGAGGAAGATAAAAACTTTAATTATTTTTATTTGGCTTAATTTTTCGCTGTGAATATTTAGTAGTAACTTAAAAAAATTAGTTTTTGTTACTGCTTTTTTTTTACTATTCTCATCCTAGATTAAACTTACTTATGAGAAATTTAGATTCATTATTAAGATTAGATGAATTAGTAAAACTAGTTTAAGCGTTTTTGATTTTGAAGGGAAAAGTTTTAAAATTTTGAATTTATCAAATTTATTTCGATATTCAATTAAATCAGTTCCATGATTATTAAGTGTAAAAAATTCAAAAACTTGAAAAATAATCAATATTTAAGAGAGAAAAAGCACATAAAACAATTTCATTTTTAACAACAGTTTTATTTATTCATTTCTTTTTTTTTTTGTTGAGAAAATTAGTTTTTGTTTCAAATTGATAAATTTTTAACTACTGAAAAAATATAGTTGTATCAATATTTCTTTATTTATATGTTAACAAATTACGAAAAAATTACCACGTAATTTGGAAATTAAACTTCAGACTACTGATTAATTTTAACAAACAATTATTTCAAGAGAAGAAAATTCTAAACTAATTTTGTTGTTTCTAAAACCAAATTAAATTAGTTTCCCTTTTTTTAGAGCAATAGTTCCATTTCGGCAGCAAATTTTATATTGTTTTCCAATGAAATATTGTAAACTCACCGGTAAATTTTAAGGTTCCAATATCTTTGGTGATTTTCCTGTCCATGGTTGGAAGAGATTGCGAACTTTTAGGAGGCTAAGTTGCGTCTGGGCGCTGGGATTTTGTCGCAGCATCCTTTACCCCCTCTCCTTTGCCCCCTATATTAATATATGTGATATTTAAGATTGAGGATTCTACGCATTCACCTACGCACTATTTTGTTCCCTAAATGTATTGGAACGTCCCACGCTTTCTGTTCATTGGTCGTCTAGAAAGCCTTTCCAAGGAAAAAGGCGGAGTTTGCTCTTGAGCTTCTTCGCTCTATCATCCTCATCCTTTTCTCCATCAGCATCCCGCGGATACCTATAGTAAGTATGGCTTTCCTCTTTCAATTTTGAATATGATTTCTAGATTTCCCAGTTTTGAAATGAACTGCGTGGGTGAGGTTTTGATGAAGAAAAAAAAAAGGATAAAATAGTTCAGAAAATTGTGACAACTCTTTTTTATTGTGCATAAAGAGCTTAAATTTCCTTTTAAGGCTTTAGATCTCTAAATTTAGAAAACATCAATACAAATTTTGATTTAAAGGTTCCAATAAGAATTATATTAAGATTAGTTTTTTGAACTTATACTTATCTGTATACGATTTATACACTTATTCAAGGCCATTTATATACCAAAAATGCTTTTGATGTAGCTAATTTTAATAAAAAGTAAAAGCTTAATCTTGATATCGCAGAAAATATTCTGATAATAACCCATTTATCGAATTGTATGATAAAAATAGCATATTTTTAATCGGTTCAAAGATTTTGAAAATAAGTAATACGGTACGTGAAGTTTTTTTTTAAATTTAAAGAATAAATAGTTCAATTTCAATAATTTGTTAGCTGTTAAAAATTGGAAGCTAATTTTAATATGTTTCTCATACCAATCATGAATGTATACAACACTAATAAGGGAAATACCCCAACTGTCACACGCCAATCAATATGAATGTTTATGTCTGCAAAGATTATAAGAATAGGCTTTTTTCCATTACTCTTTGGTTTTAAAATATAAACTTTTAAAGTTTAAACTTCGAAGAAAATGTTTGAAACTAATCATCAGGTTTTTACTGAATAAGTTGTAAAATTCATTTTAAAATTCATTTTAAAATGAAAATTTAAAAATACGTAATCAACGCCGAGAAATTATCTATTCCAATGAATCGATAGATGATCTTCGTTTCATAACAACCAAAATGGTAATTTTTAAATAATATTTGTTTTCAACACAAACCTTAGTCATAGTTAATTCAAATTTAAAATGTATTCTTTTAATACTAGTGGAAAACAATTACGAAAATGCATTTGCAATCATTTGCTAAGAAATAGTTTTTTTTTTTTCAATTTAAAACAGAAGTATTTTTATTAACTTAAAATAAAATATAGCCTGTGAAGACAATTTTTGCTTGTAAATTTTGTTAAAACAATAGTTTGTATTTCATGAAAACTTTTGTAAGCTTATTTTTTATAGAAAGAGCGAAAAATTATATACTTAAGTTAAAGTAACCTTATGCAGCCAACATCGCTTTTCGCTTGCTGTCTAGAAAATGTTGGCGTCAAATTTGTAGTAAAATTGCTGTTTGAAGCAACCTATTATATTAGAATTTGAAATAGATGAAACAAAATTCGCAGATTATTTTCAAGCCTAGAAATCTATTTGTATACAAATTTTGAGTGCAATTTGTGAGTGATGCTTTAGGTAACTTCCTTATACGAAACAAAGATCCTAACCGTAAAATTCAAAGAATTCATATGTAGTACGCACTGGCAATTATATAGATATTATACAGATATCGAATTACCGAATTATGCAGATATCGCAATTATATCGATATCGAATTTTATAGATATTTCTAATCTTAATGTGGAATACACATAATTATTATCATACAATAGATATGTAGAAAAACTTTCCAGTAAATTATTCTCAGAAAGTATTTGCAAATAATATCATTATTAGCATAATATTTTATATTATGATTGTGAAAACCTTAAAGGCATTTTTTATTTTATTTCCAATGTCAACTTTATTGGACACTAGTTACAGCACAATATGAAAAGTGAAATACAATAAGAGATGGTGAATATAATGCAGTAACTTCAGTCCATTAAAGGCATTAACAATTTTAATGCCTTTATGCATTAACAATTAGGCATTAACAATTAAGGCCTTAAAGGCCTTAACATTAATAAGGCCTTAAAGGCATTAACAATTTTAAAAAAGATTTTAAAAAAAAGAAGCAGTTTTTGAGAAGTAAAATGAATGTGCTTATTTTGTGGAAAAAATATAATAAACCATTATCATGCTTTGAAATAGTAATTTAAGTAAATGATGCTGATTAGGATTTATTTAAAAAGGAAATTGATGCGTATTTTAAGCCGCGAAATCTAAGAATATGTAGTCTGTGTTACAGATTATATAAGATAGGGGGTAAATATAAAAAACGTGATTCGATTTTAACTTCTTATTTATAGTTTTATTAAGAGGTATAAAGTATTGTTGTAGTTTGGAAAAAAGCTTTTTAAAAAATACCGGTAAAAAGGGTGCTTAGGATTCAAAAGTTGTCCACTCGTATTAAAACTACAATTAAACAGTGGAAATTTTTTATGTATTTTTCCCTACTTCGAAAATAATATCGAAGAATCTACATTTTTTTCCGAATGCATTTCCTTTAAGATTACATTATAGTACGCGATATTCCAATTGCTAGTTAAAAATTATTCAGGTATTCCGTTTTTTCATTTTTCGCTTTTGTACACTAACTCTCATGCATATCAACGCACATCTGCTTTTCTTTTCTTTAAAGTTTTATTTAAAAGCTTTCAGAATTTTATTAATGTAGCTTCTGTTTTAATGACGGTTTTCATTCAGATCTGCATAAAACAGTAACAAAATAGTGGCAAAAAAATCTTTTTAGCGTGTTATTCGATTCGATCACGGCAAAATATAATGCAACATAAACATGGCATTAGATTAATCGTTTGGAAAAGTGCACCAAAAATCTAAATAATACAAACCGAAATCATCGATGCGAGGTGTTATACCTGAGGAATAAAAGTAGATCCAAAATTTTGTACTAACTAACCAAAAAAAACGCCCTTAAGGTTGAGGATCACTTCAAAAAAGAATTTATTTTGATTAAAGGAAGATTTAGAACAGAAGTGCTTTGTTTTTGATAAATTATGAAAGGAAATATACAGGGTGTTCAGAAAAGACTGCGCTTAATGGATAATTTAGAATACTTAACTTAAATGAAATGGAAAGAAGTATACACATTGAGGGTCGCAAATTAATATTTAGCGAGGAGAAAGCGAAAACGTTATCAAAATTTGACAAATTATAGCAGAGGAAGAAGGGTGTAATAAACATCATAGCAAGTGTAACTAGTAGTTGAAACTTAAACGTGTTTCAAATAATCTTTTTCTTCTTTCTGCTTCCTCCCTCAATCAAACCTTATTGTTTATTACACCCACCTTCCTGCAGTGTTATTTGTCAGATTTCGAAAGCTTGTACATGCTTTCCTCAGTTAAATAATAATTTAAGACAAACGATGTGAATTCCATTTTGTTTTCAATAAAATTTAAAGAATTTGCTTTCATTAAATTTTAAAGAATTTGCTTTCAATAAAATTTAAAGAATTAATATTTTTGCAAAGGATTCTAAAAGTACATATTAAAGGTGGTTTTTACGGAACACCCTGTATTATTTCTCCACAAGAGTACAAAACTTTGATTGTAATTGAAGTTTGGAGAAATAATTTGCGTATTGAAATGAGTGGTAATAAGCATAGTAAAACAAGCGAAAGATACATATAAAGACTTGAAAATAACATAAAATGCAGATAAAATAAGTTTCGTATTAGTTTGTTTCATATTAGGTGAAATGGAAAAAGGTACCTGCTTTTAGAGTACTTACTGTAATTTTATTGATTGCTACTTGTTTCACAATAGTTGTACCGAATATTATGGTTACACCTCATTTTATTAGTTTAGTGTGCACTTATTAAATAATAAATAAACATTCCTCCAAGCTCCTTAAAATGTAAAAATTTATGAATTATGATTTTATCATCATAATATCTTAAGAGTATGAAATGATTCAATCTTTGAAACGTCTGTGACATATTTATGACAAAGAGAATGTTATGGTAAACATGAAAACATGTCACACTGCTGTTTCTAGGTAAATGATTAATATTCTTGCCAGATGTCTGTTTACATTATATTTCTATCGGTAAATAAAGAAAATTCAAATCCTTGTTATTGAAAGTAAAAGAAATCACGTGGCTATACCTTATGATAAGTGACATGATAGTTAAAATATGTCACATGATTTATCTTTCAAAAAATCATAGCTCGAGTCTAGACAATAAAAAGCAGCAGACAATATAATTGATAGTATTAGACCATTTTTATGATAAATACTACTGGTAAAAAATATTAAATATTTTAGAACATTTTTAAGAATGCTACAGTTTGGTATTTACAACTAAATTATTTGTTTCATTAATAAAAATTAATGTACCTGTTAAGGGTCCTATTCTAGCATTAAAAAAACCCAACTTTTTGCCTGTTAACCTATCGAAAATTATACAAACGTAATTTTTTTATTAGGTTTCTAATTAATACCTTTATATACTTGTATATAAAGGTATAAACAAGTTTGTTTTATTTTAATAATTAAAATTTGTTCTACTGAACCTAGTTACCATAGTTTAAGTAATTTTTAAACTTTTACATTGAAAAAACGTAAGAGTAAAAGAAAAAATACTTATAAACTTAAAATTTAAAATAAAAAATATTCGAAAGAAAAAAAAACATTAAAAAATATTTGTTACTTAAGAAATTAGTTACTTAATAAAAAAAATTGTTTTTTATAATTCTCCATAGATTATTATGGAGTAGTAAGTAGAATTCTTTTTTGTCTGTAGAAAACACTTAAGTATAGTATGTTTAGTATATTTTTAGTACGCAATATATATTTTGATAACGCAACTTGATTATTTAAGATTTTTTTGATATTTATTTTTTCTTTTATTCAGTTTTATAAATTTTCTGAAATATAGCTTGTAATTAGCAGCCTTACACAGTTCTTTTAAGGAGCTACGTATTATT